TGTTTGATTGCTATTCAGAATAAAGTCTTAATTTACCCAATAACATCCTCTGATTACACAACCAGTCCATCTCCTTCAGAGAACTGCAGGGTTGGGCAGGGAGTGGGAAGCTCTTGCAGATGGGGCTGGAGAGACCTGCACTGTGGTGGCACCGAGGGAAGGCCAGGGCAACAACCCACCTGCCTCACCAACTAGGGCTGCTTCCTAAATGACAGAACAGAACAACACGGAATCAGCAGAATCACCTGCCCAGGTGATCTCAAGAACATAGTCTGCTCTGCAAATGCCTTTTTAACCATGTGTCAACTCTCAATTTCCTCATCAATCTTCAATAGGTGTGCTGTGAACTCTGATAACACTATTGAAAAAGACCCAAATCCCTCAAAATAGGTGGAGGGGAAAAAGACAGAAATGTGCAAGAAATAAACAGATTCTCCACTTTATTTTTAATAAAAATTTAGATCCTAGATGGATACAGCATCTGTAAAAGACAAGAACAGAGAGAATCACGTTAGAAATCCTGTTACTGGACTGTAATATTTTTACACAAGTTTGCATATACAACCTAGATCACTGATCTCTTCAACTACTGCAGAAGTGACCCCCCATCTACATGGAAGAGATGCAAGAATTTAAGCTTGTAAGAGCCTCACTAGAAAGATACTGCATCAAAACTCTGGGTGAGGGAGCTAAAGGGACAGTCTCACTGAAGCCTTGTGGCTAAAACAGGTCTCAGTGGACAGGTCAGGTCAGCACATTCCCCAGTTACAACACTTGTGAGGCAGGAGAAAAATCTTGTCAATGCAACTGGAGTACAAGGGTGCAAAAACACATGTGCAAGATGGAATAGAAACCAACACAGCTTTAGAAGGGAGCTTTACAAGAGCCCTGGAGCTCAAAGAGCATTTCTAGACAACCTGAGCAAGGACACAACACCCCAGACCATGAAATGAACCCCTACAGCACAGGAAGCCAGCCATAAACCTGAGTTTATCAAAGAGCTGTGCTGAATACACAACAGCAACAGAACAAAGCTGTAGCTTTCCCTCACCCTATGTGGGATTAAAAGGCATCCTAAAACTAATAAGCATCTTATTGCTAGTATCAATGCACTTACCACCCGGATTCTGTGTCCAATGGCCTTGGCAGGGAGGTTGGAGCGGAACTTGGCGCGCACCATGCCGCTGTTGCCGTGGGCACGGGTCACCTTCCCCCAGATGACTCGTGTCCTGTTGGGCTTCCCGCCGGGGGTGACCGTGTTGCTGAGGAGAGGAGAACACAACTGCTGAGCACTCCAGGCACAGCTCCACAGGGGACTGATCCATCAGACAGGGCATCAGACAGGGCAGACAACGCAGCCCCTTTAAGGCACTTCCATAACGTCATTTCACAGCCATCTTTAACTGGGCCACCTTTCACTTTTACTTACCTGAGAAATCTGCAAGGCCTGATACTTTCACTACACCTTCCAAACAGGTAAGTACTGCAGCTTGTGATTTATCAGAACCTCCACTGAAGAATTATTAACAAGTAGCAAAGCTTAAAAATTTGGCAAACACTGATGCTGAGATGGTGAACCCAAAAGCTTATAAATTTCAACTCCAAAGAAAATGCTGTATCTTATTTGTAAGATTTCTCCAGACACACCAAAGGCAGGAGAGGCCTAAGCCTTGGGGATGGACTGCAAACCCCTGCTTCAGAGGAAAAGCCATACACCATTTTGGAAATAACAGTGATCAAGCCATCAGTCTGATCAATTTTATTCAAGACAATTCTGAACTCCCATATCTTAACTCTTAACACTACACTCAAATAAAAACCTAAGTGGAAGGTGGTAAGTAACCATTCTTAAGGCCTCCATCAATTCCAGCACAGCAGAAGTGACAGTGCTCTGACATAAGACATGCAAAAGCCAGGATACCAATTCCTCAAAGCTTCACAAAATAATTCTGCTGTTAAAGCAACTCAGTGGCTCATGGTACCCAACACAAATTCACCTTCCTTCAATTTACATTAACCTGCCTTCAGGTTTTGTCAAACTCAGGCAAAACTTATTCCTCACCTCATCTGGTCTCTAAAATATAGTTTACAACAAATGGCAATTTCACATAATACCGTGATCTGAATGAAGAACATGTAGGCCAATTAAAGCAAAAATAACCAAGGACCTCAGAAAGCAAATCAACTCTGGAAGCTGGTCTGCAGAGTTCTACCCGGACATTCTATCGATAAACTGAGCCAAATTTTTTTTTGTTCCAACAAACAGCCTGCTCAGATCCCAGCATTTGCAAAAGCTGATATAGTAGTTGGCTAATTTAGCATAATAATAAAGCTACTCACTTTTTAGCTTTGTACACATAGGCACACCTCTTGCCCAAGTAGAAGTCTGTCTCCTGACGGGCATAAACCCCTTCAATCTTCAGAAGGGCAGTGTGCTCCCGCTGGTTTCTGAGGCCACGTTTGTAGCCAGCAAAAATGGCCTTGCACCACAGCCTGAAACATTCAGAACATGTACAGGTTATAATTCACTCCAAGGCATCCAATGCATAAATAAATAACGTGCTGCTTCAGTAGAAACTATTTCCTGACCAGCAGAAATGTAGCTGAGGAAAATCCCCACTAATTTTTCTTTTACTAATTATTACAAATCTTTACATTCAATCAACATAGCTAAGGAACATGAAGCATCTCTCAGAACTTTGTAACTTTCTGCTTCTTACAAACTTCTGTCACTACAGACTTCACACCAACATCAAAGAGCTTCAACACAGGCAGGTTGACATTTTCCAATGTCTACAACCACGCTGGAATGAGCAAACATTAATTTTTTCTATGCAGCACATAAAGAGTCTCCTGGTTGCAACAACTGCTATAACAAGACATTAACTACTGCTAATTTGTAGCCTCAAAGGAATTAACCAGGGAGACCACCTCACAGACAAGGGACATTACACAAACTCCTCAAGACAAAGACCTGTCTGAATTACACAAGTAATTTTAGGGCTCATTCCACACATCATGTACACATGACTGTCTCAACTGCATCCAACAACTGTCCCACAATACATCAGTATTAAACCAAGCTGTCCAGTCCTACCCTTCAATCATGCTCAACAGAAGACAATCTCCACAAATAAACACTGAAACAAAACACTGTGATTCAGGTTCAATCCCTCCCCCATTCACAAACTCAACCCCTATATTCACAAGAAAACTCCATGGCACAGTAATCATTACCCAAAGAAACCAGCTTTCTAGGCCTCTCCTGTTCACTGAAGGTTCACAAACGCTGTGCTAAGAACACCAGTAATACCTCAGAACTACTGAACGGCCGGGAAAATCATGGCACAGCACCTAACAGTCACAATCTGCTTAAGGCAGAGGCCTCAGAAGAACGGGACGCATAACAGAGGACCCAGCAAGATACAGGGCAGAGAAGCTCTCTTGGAAAATGAGAGCAGCCAAACGAAAACGAATCGCTGCCCGCCACTTTAACAAAACACTCCCAGAAACGCTCAGTTTGCAGCACGATCTGTCAAGAGGCAAATTGTAACAGCCCGCCGGGAGCCGCGTCAGCAGGACAGGTCACTCACCTCCCGGCCATGGTGTCCTCCCGAAGTCCTGGTCCCAGCAGGCCTAAAAAGCACACACAAGCCAT